AGCGTATCAGTTTTGTTTTGATTTATACCATGATCTGACCAATATTGAAAGTAAATGACTGCCTACTGCTTATCATTCCGCTGGGATTCCCTTTCTCTCGATAAAATAGTTCGTAGCATTTACGAAAGTAGGATGCTTCAGCTTCACGCTATCGTGTGAAATAGTTGAAAACTGATATATAAAATGCGGTTTTAAGATGAATATGACACACAACAATGCTACTAAAGGAAAACTATTGTGTATTTTTGTTTTAAACTTTGTGAACTTTGACCTCGCGTATTGGTATATGGAAAGACAAACGACGGCTTTTGTGCGAATTTTTGAAAGGTGGAGGGTTTCCCGTGCAAATACTCGTATTGTGTTATTGTGTGCAGAATTCTTTGAATATTTGTGTAAACAAGGAATCGTAGCTGACTTTGACCGATGGACCGGTGATCAGCAGAGAGAAGAAGCATGACAAACCCCCAAGTGAGTATTCTTTTCGAGAGGGTGTATAATTGGAAGAGATTTTAATTTGACTGTAATTATTTGGCAGGGGCTACCGACGTACCGTTGACATAACGTTGTTTTTCACGAATTTGTTGATTGTTTGTCGATTCTCAAACAAGACTACAATGGAATCTGTGTGTGTGTATCGTGTAGCAAATGTTTGTGCTCAGACCACAACTCTGTGTTCGCAACTCTGTGTTTGCAACTCTGTGTTCGCAACTCTGTTCGTCGCTGTATTATTACACGTCCCACATTGCAGCCAGTCGCCATGGCAAAACAGATCCCATGCCACAGACTATCAACTCAAGGCCAAGACGACTTTACACAGTTTTATGTGCTGAAATTAAATGACCGTTTACCCAGTATAAGTTAAATCAGTCATAAATATCAATTTAATTAATAATTTAGGGGTTAAAAATATGATACTTACGGCATATCATATAGTGGTTCATAATTTTATAATTTCATTACATATTCCGGATGCCTGTTACTCATTTCTGACTAGTAATAAAAATGCTGATAAATTACTAGTATGTCTAGTATTTAAATATCATATATGTATGACCTGACCTGCAGGTGTCAGTGGTTTTAGTTTTTAAAAATGGAAGGAAGGGAGGGAGGGCGAAAAAATATCACTGAAAAATTAAATTTATTAGGAATTTCCTTAGTTACAAAATAGCAAAGGATTGGTACTGATCAAAATTAACCACCCCTCACATTTATAACCACATTTCCATGGAAACTATAGTATTATAGTTAATAACAATTCACTTAGGAAGTTGTGCAAAATTATTAAGAACTGAAATTTTATTATTTAAATGAAACCGCCTAGCAATAATAACTAAAAGGTGGTAATATATTTGCAGTTATAATTGCCCAGGGATATCACCACAAGCTAATAAAATATGTCTGTCATCTTGTTATCATAACATCTGGTTACCTTGTAGATTTATTTCTACAGTATAGTAAGTTTGAAACTAGAACTGTGAATGGCATTCTTTACTTAATTTAAAAACTGGACAGTGTTTGCAGTTCAGAATATAAAAAAATACTGATGCTAAAAAAATCAAGGTTTATCTGTGATGCATACCAATACATGATAATGATAACCATGTACTGGTATGTCCTAATGCCAAACAATGAAAGAATACTTGGTTAATTTAACGTTGTACGTATCCTAGCGGCAATGGGACAAGTGTTGCCTGGCATTCAGTAGTTTGTTTAATCTTGTAGTATTAACACCGCAAATCATAGCACGGCATAAATTAAAACTGCATACAAAGTAACAGGTCATTGTACAGGTGAGAAGAAAACTCTTCTTTTGATAGGTCATTCATCTCTCACATGGTACATACCATACTTTGAATAAATAATGACACAGCTATGTCATTGTGTTGGTGTGCTCGGTCATATATATATTGATGGCAATATATTTAAACATAGACAGTCTGACTTTATTTATTGACTTTATCTATTGTGATAATTTAATAACTTAGTAAATTCAATTTAAATTATTATACATCTGTCACTGTAACGCCATAAGTTAGAGTGTGTCGTAATTTTGCGGCATTGCACTAGGTATTTTCATCCTACCATATTAAGAAACGCGAATTCCAAATATGGAATGATTTTGTGCGTAAGCATGCTTTAATAAGAAAAAGCAAACATGGCTGCCCCTAGGGTTTGACCGGACCCTTGTTAAATCTCTTCTAAACGTTTTGGATTTCAGCATTCCCATGATGTATTCCACTGCGTGACAGTCGATACTCTCGCTGTACTGTCTTCGTGCATACTTTGCAGTATCCTCATAATAACCTCATATTATTAAACATCTAGAGCTGAAAACAATAGCATTTACTGTTTGTAAAAAGCCATAACTGTATTCTTTCCATCTCTGCATTGCTCTTTAATATATAAATATTAATATTTTTCGGCTAAACTACGTCAACATAAAAAATTTACCAAAAAGAAATTGAAAAACAATGCATATGAATGTGCCAAATGTCTCCCCAAGTTGTTGGCAGGAAGTAGATTCAAATTGTGAAGAAGAGATTTTGTAGGATTTTGAAATTATTACTGATGGGAACATTTTTCTAGCATATACTTTGATTCTGTCATCACTTATAGATTCTAGCTACTGTATCATTTCTGATAAAAAAAAATGTGGTACCATATTAGCTCTGGAGCATATGCTCACATAATAAATGCATGTGTGCCTGTTACAAAATAAGTTATGTTTTAATTACCCTGAATACAATAAATGTAATTTTTGGTTTATAATGTGGAGATGTGTTTGTACATGTAATTGAGCAAATCTAGCATAATGATTGGATAAGAAAGTGTCAATTACAAACACAATTCACATCGACATCAATAGTTTTCTTACATGCTAAAAAATCTAAATAATTGCATATACAACCTCTAAGGCTACAGAAAATTGCTTTGTCAAAATATTAATAGGGTTGAACAAACTAATATTCATATTTATTATTTGGTTCATATTTTCTACCTGCATTTATTGGATGTTTGCTAGATTGATTGATTTTATTATGAATGCAAGTGCAGCCACGCTTGAATTTTCAAGAAAACGATAGATAACACATGTATTGTTATTTTGTTACATTGTATTTGTACTATAATGATATTTATCTATAATTATCTATATGCAAATTAGTCATTGATATGCTAATTAACTTAAATCTTAGTCTGGTACATAAGCCTGGAAGAGTACTGCAATGTGTAACTTCCTTACATATTCAAATAATTTCAGTTTTCTAGTGGTTATGCTTTCACTATGTTCTTAGATATGTTGGGTACCGATTTATTTTATTCTATTAATAGCTATTTTCAATATCATTGTAATTATGATGATCATATCATATGTTATGATGCTAATCTGATTATCCAAGTATAAATCAATCGGCCTGTAATATTGCATTATAATTGATAATTAAAAATCAATATTAAAATATTGTGTAAATTCAATTGCCTGCCAGCAGCCATATTTTGTTTTCAATAATAATTTGATATTTTACTACAAATGGGGGTAATACAGTGCCCTTTCCAGGGCACTCAAGAATGGCCTGGTGAATCACTATGGAAATACACAGATAGCACAAAATGACTTTTCATGATAATAGACGACGCCCAGTCTAGGGTAATACTGTATGTACATCACAATATACATGTACATCATAATGTTGTTACTATACTCTATTGGTTAATTAACCTTCAAAACATTTGTTTAAATTTCCTGTAAACAAACAATGTATTTTGCAAATCGCTATGAGTTCCATATCAAACAGGACATGACATGACGATCCTTGCCCTTTAAACATTCTGTTTAATTTTCAGTCAAATGTTAACATCTTGATGTTTCGTTGGAATAAAATTTCACAAAAGTCCAGTGAAATGTTCACTACCACATAATGTTATTTTATTTGTCAACCTCAAAGTGTGGTTTATAGTAATTTTAGAAAGTCTTTCAATGGGCATCAAAACAAGCCTGCAATAGAACCTACCCATGTCCCAGTAATTCCAAATACGGTAATCTGGCAAGATTATTATGCCCTTATTGCCCTCATAATAACCAGAATTTAGTAAAATCTCCAGACAAGAAAGAAAATATTTAATTCTCCTGAATTTTGTTAAATTTTGATTATTTGCTAGTACCAGCAACATCACCAACCATTGAATTGTTCTCTCACTAACAGAGTACTGTAAAATACTTTATTTTAGCTTGAATTAATTTTCACTGAAAAGACATTTTTGTATGGAATTTGATTTCACTGATTTGTGACGACTTGAATGTAAAACGCAGAAAAAAAGGTATATCCACTGGATTTTATTTTCACTGAATCATTCCTTCACCAAAAATAGCAAAAATGAATTCCAAATGAAAATAAAGTATTTTACAGTACATGAGCATCAAAAATGTTTGTTTTTTCTACTCTACCTGTATTACATGTAGCTGTATTAGCACTCTTTCAAACATCTGCATCAATAATTTCTTTTTTTACTGTTCTACAAAATTCTGCATTAGCATTCATCATCAAAACTTTCAATTTTTTTTTTTAATGATGGTAAATTATGTCACCAACAATTCCAGGTTATTCAATGGAAATATAATCCTGTAACTTACATTTGCACAGTGTGAAGTGTTTCCATTGTCATCTCACAATAATTTATTACTGTAAAATACTTTATTTTAGCTGGGAATAATTTTTGTTGGAAATATTTTTCGGGTGTTTTGTAAGGAATTTATTTTCACCAATTTTTGACGAGTTGAATGTAAATTATTATAGGAAAAAAGGTATATTCACTGAATTTTGTTTCACTGAATCAATCCTCAGCAATAATAACGAAAATTAATTCCAAGTAAAATATTTTATAGTACTACAAGCAGAAAAAAGATAATAATAATAAGGTTATTATAAGAATACCGCAAAGTATGCACTCAGGCAGTATGGGTCACATTGACCTCTGCTACATGCCAGTTGATGTGAGCACCATAATTTCTGAGTTGGTTATAGATGTGGATGGTCATAATATAAAAACCATACCAAGAGTTCTTCATGGATATAACATATAGAATGATCTCTTGTGGTGGGAAGTCATGCACAAAGGGTTTATGTAGTTAAATTTGAATTATTTTGCTTGATGATATTGCATTTTGGCCACAACAATATCAGTAAATGTGGTACATGTATAATAAAAAAAGTATGCGTGAAACCCCTGAAATTTGATACATATTCATACAGATATCTCATACAGGTATCTCATACAGGTGTCTCATACAGGTATCTCATACAGGTATCTCATACAGGTATTTCATACAGGTATCTCATACAGGTATCTCGTACAGGTATCTCATACAGGTGTCTCATACAGGTGTCTCATACAGGTATCTCATACAGGTATCTCATACAGGTATCTCATACAGGTATCTCATACAGGTGTCTCATACAGGTATCTCATAC